CCTAATGGATATGTATTTTAAATTCAGCTTCTAAGTCAAAGGACTTTAAGGTATGCAGAACATACTTGAGCATATAGGGGCACATCTGGGAATGCTGCCAGTGGAAGATGAGGGCCTCTGCCCCGGAGGAGGAGCAGCTCTTCAGGTGGGGATCAAGGGACTCTTGTGCTGAAATAACTGAAAAACTGGAGTCAGGAGCCAAAGAGTCTGTCTGCAAGCGCAAAACACACCAGAGAGCAGTTCTAGGCTTTGAAAGCACAAAACCAGTTTCAATATAGTAAGAGCTCGTATGACACACTTCATTTCTCATTTCCCTGCACTAAAAAGGAGAATGAACAATGGTACTCAACAAATAATTTTTATTTTCCGCAATGTTCATGTTCAAGAAGTGAAACTGGACTGTTTTCGTAGACTCTCTGCTTTCATACCTACCCTGAAATATTTAAAGTGGAAAAAGGTGTAAGCTTGTATTTATTAACAATTACTTGTCATGGGAAACTCATGTTTTTCTGTATCTATCCCAGTGCTAACACCTCGTAACAGCTTGAAGAGAACATAGCTATTTCCTTAAAGTGATAAATGTAGATGCAGCTATAATGGACTAGTGAATGGTGATAAATTTGCAAAGTATAATGCCTGAGCAGTCACTATCAGAACACAGCAAAGAGAATATTCCATCTCAGACGTACACAATTATTCTAGGAAAAGCTCTTCTGCTTTTAGAAGTATTTTGTTAAGGTTTGTTTTATCCTCCAGGAAAAAAAAAAAAAGTAAACTGGGTTAAAAAAAAATGAATCCTCAAAAACTTTCCCTGAATAAACTATACTACAAAAGAAGCTCTGATGATCTCTCAGAGCTGGAAATAATCCATTTTCAACTAAAACTACCCATAGCAATGAAACTGAAAATACTTTAAGAGAGGGCTGGAGACTGTCTTGTAATTAACATTAAACAGATAACATATTTACGAGGAAGTCAAAATATTTTGGAAGCCGATAATCCTGTAAGCCTTAACGTGGTATAAAAACAACAAATAAATGCAAAGTGTTACTGTTACACATGCCTGCCTGATCAATGGTTTTCACATATTGATCTATAAATGGAGTTGACAGTCTGTGTTGGCTGCACATTTTCCAAGCAGCTCTATTTTTGTACAAAACCAATACGGGCAATTACCTTTGTTTGAGATGCCAAGTCTTATCAATTCAATGTGATTTAGTGTCATTTTAATTAAATATCAGGATCTACTTCAGGACAATCTATAAAAACAAAGCCTAAAACTTAACTATAAGCTTCATTTGAAGTAAACATGTACAAGCCCTGCAATTTCAAAATATGGCTCCAAAACTCTGCTAAACAGAAGGCTTATATTTTTAGCCATTTTATTTCTGTCTTTTTGGCTAGCCATAACTTTGGCAAGTGTTCTATGATCACAAGAGTAAAAAACAAAAGAAGATTGCTTCCTGTTTCCTTGATAATGTATTAGAGAGATAAATAAACCTACCCGTTTGTTTAACCTAATCAGAAAAAAGCTCTAATATATTAACATTTTGGAATGTCTAAATAGGTTCTAATTCTTAATATAGACACCAATAAAAAAAGACATTTCATTCATTGAAGTTGTTCTGAATGAAGCAAAATGCACTTTCGTGGGTTTTAACAGATGAACATAACAAATATTCATTTACATTGCTAGTTCAGACACTAATATTAAGCACAGAAAGAGCCCTCGCTTACCAGTTTGTGTCCAGCTTAGTGATTTGTGCTCTTTAAACATTAGTATCAATTTCAGCCTTTGCACAATGCTGAAGCATTTTCATTGAAATAAATAACATAAACCCCCAAGAATCTACATTTAGCTCTTGCATCAGTTAGCTTATGCATTCCACATTTGCATCTTCACTCTTATAAAATGCGCAAGTGCATGTCGACCTACTGATGCATGATGCATATCCTTCTTTGTCACCCTGTAGAAAATAATCTGTCCACCTTCAAAACTATAGCCCCAGGTGTGCTTACAAGCACCACAGCAAATGCTTGAGAACACAAAAATATCCTTTAGAGAAAATTATGTATCTTCTTCTCTATAAATCACCAGTCATCCTTCTAGTTTTGCGCCTGGTTTTTGCCCTTTCTTGTCCAGAGTGATTTCTTTTTCCCCAAAAATATATTTTAGAAATTTATTTTTTCTACTGGTATTTCAGTGTGCCAGATGCTGATTGCCTTAATCCACTGAAGTCAGTAGGTTTTGCACAAGTTGAGTAAAAAGGATTTGACCCATATATTACTAGAACATAATTCATATGTCAAAACATGGATGGCAAAAGATCAATGTGGAACACCTTTTTCAGCTATATCTTGTTTTTTAAAAGAAAAATCTCTTCAATGACAGGACAAAAATATTTAGTCAATGCAAAATAGAAAACAAACATAATCAGTGGATACCTTGTAGGTTATATCCATCACTGAAACAGAGGCAGACAGTAAATTTACAAATAGAAATATCACAATAAGTCCTTTTTATTTTCTAGCACAAAATAAATTAGCTCTGTTTAACACACCGGTAATAGGGATCTGTGTGCCTTTAAATGCAAAACTGAAGACTGTATATATGAGTGCCTCAGAAAAGAACAGCATGAGTTTTAAAACAAGATTAATAAATGTACATATATACATATATATGAGCGTGTGTGTGCATATCAGTTGGACCTTGTTTTTTCAAGACACTTGGACAGAGTACCTTTTCCCATTACTTTCCCCAACATCCTTCATGAGTCACATGCACAGATTCGGATATATCAGCATGCAATTGCTACAAGCAACAGACACTTCACTAGTCTTTTAACTTGAATCTCACTGCATTTAAAGCACATATTTGAAAATGTTTGGATCCTTAGGAATTTTGCTTTTAGTTTGGGCATTAGCAAACAACTTTAAGAAGCTTATTTAAGTAAATATGGCAAAACACTTTGTCTGTCAATATCTAGTCAGAAAATTCTACATGGCAAAAAGAGATGAAAAGAATTGAAATAGAAAGGAAATTAGTAGCATGGCAGGCTTTCAATCCATTATGTCAGAGCCAAGTTTGCTTGGTAAAATGACATATACTCAGTAAAATTCCACTTTTATATAATTAGCTACTAAACAAATGCAACACAAAGCAACTTTTCAGCTCTCAGCCAATGAATATATATTGTACCTGCTACGGTTATTGGGATGCAGCAGTGAATATTTATGTCTAATTTAACTTTTTAGAGCCCTTGCTCTGGAACAGTCCAGCATGCTATCCCCACAACTGAAGTTATGTAACAAGGTAATATCAACAATGAGAAACTGCAGGATAAAATCCTGCCCAAAAGTGAAAAATGCTAATTTTGTCTCATTTAGCAGCTGGATACAGAAATGCTCATTAGTTTTAAGAGGGTTAATCCTTTTAACTTTTGCATATTGATATGCCAATTATGCCTAATTGTACAAGAGGCATCAGTCAAGGTAATAGTGCATAAACACATGAAAGTTATTAAGTACATCCCAACATGTAATAAAGTAGGTGTTAATTGGTAGCTGAGTTCTGCAGGCTATTGAGGTGGATAATTCATTGAGAGATGGATCACTTGTAATTTCTCGACATAATTCCTTTTGCAGTCTCATGCTGTGATGTTTTCATGCTTGTCAAAAACGACTGCAGCCTAGTGCCTTTTGTTAAACACAGCCAATAAAATATGTTAGGCATCATTAAATATACTTAACTTTTAAACTTTTTCAAAGATACAGTTCTTCCTGATAATACATTATAGTATTCCCAGTAAATTACTATAAGCATTGTTTCAGGTTTGTAATGGAGGAACATTTTACATCAGATAAAAAGGAAGAGACATATACAGTGTGTCTGAGGCAAACAGTATAATTTAAATGGAAGGTATTTGAGTATCTTATCAGCTGCAAAGATCTAAAGAGATTTTTCTTTCCAGAAATACAGAGTGAAATTAGTTAAGCTATATTACTATATCAGAGAAATTAATGACTAAAGTAATGTATTGCTAAATGAATCTGAATTTCGAGTTTGAACTTTGAGTAAAAAGGAAAAATAATACAGCTGTTATTACAGGTTTCCTCCATTTAATAACTTTTTAGAAGCTGAATATTTCATAGGAATCCATTACATCAAGAAAACAAAAACATAATGGTTGGCATGGTTGTGAGAAATGACTGAGACCTGGGACTCTGTCCCCAGCTAACAGAGTTTTTTCCCTCATTTGCATTTTCTGAGAACAAAATGGATCAGGAGTCCAAAAAGTGGCTAGCATTGCATAAATAATTTTGTAACATCATATGGCCTCAGCTGCAAGTTGCCACCATTATGGAAGAAAATTAACCAGGGGAGACTCATATCAATCAGTTTGTTTAGTAGCTCCAAAGGAGTACAGGGGCGGGGATGCAACTGGCAATAGAGTTCATCACTAATTTCAGAAAAAAAAAAAAAAAAGAAAGAAAAAGTATGGTAATGGATAAAAAATTAGTCAACTCTGTCAACTATCACAATAATAAAGTAACTTCAGTGTCTGACTTGTTTCAATTACTTCATCTCTACAACAAGACTTAATTTTGTTATGGACAAAGCTGGCTTTTATTTACAGAGCTGAAATTTCCATTTTTTTTTCTTTCATTATCTTTTAAGTTTTGCCTTTTGAGAAATCATAACATGCATCTGATACTGTAAGTACTATGCTCTACAGCAGCCATATTTAAGTATTGTAACACTTGAGAATTGAAATGCTGAGTAGATGCTATGATCGTGGCCACCAAAGCCAAATTCGTTCTTTCACTGATGGAAAATTGTTATTCCTGTGCTAAGCCATACTCCTTAAAATGTATTAGTGTCAGTAAATCCCTTCTTGCAAGGTATAATCACAAAACCAGTATCTTAGCCATGAATAAGGTAATTCTGTAGTTTTTAAAATATCAGAAGACTCAAAAACTCTTAGGAGTATTTTACTTACAGGCTCAGGGACTTTCACATTCTCTGACAAAATCATAGATTTGCTTTGGCTCAGTCTATCGTGGTGACTGTTGGCATTTTTGTTCCTCATTTGAACAGTCCCCGTACTGTGGTGGGAAGGATTAGGCTTTTCAGAGGCTGTATCAGAAGCTGTAGACCTTTCCATGGTTACTGGGTTGACCTGAAGAACATAAGAGTATTAATCTAGGAACCCTCCATGCAAAAATGTATCAATGCCAGCTGTATGTCACTATAGTCAGGAGAAGTTGAGTTATCTTGCTGGCAAGATCTTGATCTTCTTTGAACACCAGGATAACTATCAGCTGTGTCAGCCTGTAGTTTTATTATTGCCCTTATCACTCAACCATCCAAACTGCCTTGGAAGAGTTAGTTTATGTAAAAGATTATCCTTATCTCAAAAGCCATTCTCGTCTATGGTGTAATCTCCCTGCAAGCCTCTGTCACGTCCAGCTGGCAGCCACTACGTTTTGTCTTTGGCCCTGCTCACACTATACATTTTCAATCTTGCAAAGGAAAACAACATGCTGTGAAGTCAATTAACATAACTTACCTCCACAGTTCAATACATGCATGTTACAAGAGCATTGCAGGACCATGCTGCAGCCCTGCTAGTGTCCTAGATTCCAACCCACATCTAATAAGAGTTCCCTTATTTTTTACATTCTGCCACGAACAGAGATGGGATTTTTATTTCTCTTGTTCATTTTTAAATATTTGTAAATTAAGAAATGGCTGAGTGCATCAGCTCTCAAGCTGCTGGAGGAATAGGGGGAAACTCGTAGAGAACAAACACCTTCTCTAGCAGAGCTGATGTTCAACCTCCTGTGCCAGCCTTAATGCAACTTGATAAACTGCATTCTATTTAAATTTCCAAAATGCTTTTCATCAGCAAGAGTTGCTTCATAGTTCTTATACAAAACGTCAGGACAGTGATATACAGCACTTTCTCTACTTTCCTCGCTCCCTTCCCCAGTTCACCCTGGCACTACTATATGTAAGTTGTTGGGAGAAGTAATATGGTAAGAGTCACAAGAAAACTTGCTATTTGTATTCCTGTGTAACTGTATGAGAAAATGGGTGAGAAAGAGATCCTATATAAACTGGTTTCCCAATTATGGAGCCAGAGAAATGGAAATCCATTTAAATGCAGTTATAATATAAACTGCTGAAAATCAGCATTTTCCAAATGGGTTTGAAGATCACAACTTTTTTCTAGCAACATCTCCCCAACCTCTGAAGACTCTAAAAGATTAAATTCTCTGATTTTAAGAATGTTAATTTCTATGAAGGCATCAGAGCAGAGGAAGATATGGTACTAGTGTGAGAGAAGGAGATCAAGCGCACTACCGCGTATCTCTGGGCAACACCATAGCATTATGATGGTGGAAGGGCACAACCTTCCTGCCTTCACCCTCTCATGGCCCTGATAAATCAATTCCTTACAGAAAACTGCCTCAGATATAGAGAGTGATAATGAGAGGTCATGTAGTCACAAAATGGTTGAAGTTGGAAGAGACATCTGAAAGTCATCTGGTCCAAGTCTCCTGCTCAAGGAGGACCACCTACAGATGGTTGCCCAGGGCTATATCCAGAATGCTTTTGAATATCTCCAGGGGGATTTGAACTCATACAGCTAAATATATGGAAATACAAGGAAACACAGCACTCTTGAATAGAGAAATGAGAAGTGCTTCGATATTAACCATTACTCACTCAGTATTATGAGCTGTGATAGAAACACTGATTTTAATAAAAGCAGCAGTAAAGTTTATGATCGTGGCTGCCTCCCACATTGAATTAGTTACTCAAGGTTCCCTACAGAAATTAAATCACAGAAAAAAGAGGAAAAAAATAGGCTAATTAGGCTATTTACATATGTGTCCTGATGCTCAGGATTATGCATGTCTGTTTTTGCTGGGAGCTGGTATACGACACCAAGGAAAACTCTTTATGTGGACCTTTGGTAGACAACACTGAGTGTTCTCCCTTCCCAAGACACTTTTTACCACCCTCTAGAGCAGTAGCTGCTCAAACCCATGTCGCAGGGACACTTTGCCATTTTGGCAGTAAAGTCTGCAGCAGCTCCAAATAGGAAATTATTTTTTTCCTCCTTCTAAACTTGGAGAGTCAACCCATTTTGTATTTCATGTTGGTATAAAATCAAAATTGCTTCTCAACAGATTTTCAGTAGGCTCCAGGCTGGAGAGCTGATCAGACTTGAGAGACAAGAGCGACACCAGCTCTGTCACCAATCCAATGTTTGGCTGGAGTATATCTCTCAGATTTTCTTCTGAAATCTCCCACCTATAAGACTCTGACATATCTCTTCTTGGGAGTGTTATGAGTTTTAATTAGGTAGTCTCTGCCTGGTGTTATCAGCACATGAACTGCTGTAACAAAGTTTAATAGTATGACAAAGTCATGCCGTGGATCTCAAATAGGAACACAGTCAGTAAATGGCAAGTCTGCAAAGACTTCTGAAAACGTTTATTCTAGTCTCGTTGAACCTTGGTTAATTTTCCCCAAACCTGGAACTAATTCACACACATCAGAGTATAACAAGGAGACTGAGGCACCCAAGTTACAGGAACTGTCATGAAAGATAAAACCCCAAATCTTAACATTTTCACCATCAGATTTTATTTGTCTTAGTGTAGAGCATGCTGAGATCCTGCAAAATATTGCAGGACATGAAGGAAAGGTACAAGTTACAGAAATTTCTCCCTCAGGATTTCCAGGTAGGGTTCCTTTGCTGCCCCACCTCCATTGACTCCTAACAGCGTTACCGACCCTGCATGCCAGTAGATGGCACCCTGAATATGAGCTCCACGAATGCAACAGAGTTGCATTCACATTTGCGAGAAGAATTTGGTTCACACTTGCATTATGCCTTATTTTTTTATTCTTTTTATTTTTTGTTAAGCTTTTAAAAAAATAAGAAGGGAAGACAGTCAGGAAACAGTTAAAATATTAACAGAAAAAGGATCCTATCTGATGGTTTTATGATTTCATGCTTCCAAACAGCTGCATCAGGACCAAGTTTCGGCTGGTTTTGCAGGGAATTTCATTTCACTTACTTTGGAAAGCAGAGATGCCAAGTCCTGTGCAACTGCTTCTGAGGCACCCTGTGTTCATTATACAACTGGTTAATATGCCTTTTGGCAAATAGTTAGCATCTGGATATAAATTTTAGTTTTGAAACCTTCTACGGTTGATTTGCTGGAGAAAGGCATTAAACCAAGACAAAATTTACCTCCTTTCCCTCTCTGTTGTTTGTAGGGTTCTTTGGGGCAAAGAAGCAGCATAACTTTAAGATACTCACGTAAAAGGAGAGGGACAGGGAAACATCCTGAAAAATCCTCTTGGAAGTACCTGTATTGGGTCATTGTGGAACAGAAGTGACAGGTTGTTTACAGCATGGGTACAAGAAAAACCCTTGACATGAAGAGAGATGAATGACACAGTAAAGGAAAACTGATTCATATAGTGGGTAAAAAGATTACATTGGATATGAGAAAGGAAAACTTTAATTTCTGGAGAGTGGATAGATCATCTTACTTATGGGGCAAGAAACACTACTGAGCTCTAGGAACAAGATCATCTTTCTGTCTGGGACACTAAAACCAATTCAGTCCTATACAGCCAGCTGCTTCTGGAGATACCCTAAGGAGTTCAAAAGCCCTCACTGAAGGCAGAACACCTTGCCCAGAAACTGGTACATGTTTGGGATGCTCACAGAGGAGGACAAGCCTGCTGCGGCAAGTAGGACAGCATCCCAATGGTGAATCAGGTTGCACTGAAGCCAGTCTTCAGAGGCCAAGTACAGGTGTGAGATGGCTGCTAACTAGTCAAGTGACATTTGACATATATGATTGTTCAGCGGTTAAGATCCTAAAACCCTGATTTCTATACGTACAGTTGACTTTCAAACACACAGTGTGAAAGTAATGAATAGTACAGAGATGAAAAATTGAAAATTTTTAGATGCAAATCTGTAGACACAGTAAAGCCATCCCATTTCTGAGAATCAATCCCAGGTTAAAAGAGTAACACAGAAAACTGCAGAGATCAGACCTCGATCTTCCTCACAAAGTGCTGAGTCTTGGTAAAACTATCTTCAAGAGCATTTTCTGTAATATTTCTTTTAAAAACAATTCTTTCACAAAAACTTGATGTTTGATAACAGTGAAAATGTTTCAAGTATTTATTTTCTTTTGATGAGGAAAAATTCTTTTCTGCCTTTTCTCTTCAAAAAGAGAAAGGAAATAATAAAGGAATTAAAGTAACATTGTTAACTTCCCAAAGAAAACTAAAACAGAACAAAACAAAACCTTCCTTTTTCTACTTATATTTTCCCTGAAAAAAAAAGGAAAACCATATTTTTTAGCTTTTTGAAAAAAATTAAGGAAGTGAATTGTTCACCTCATATCTATTCTGATGTCTTTGGTAGCTTAATTATGGTTTCTGTCTCACAATGATAGCCAGATAAGTGTTCCCTCCTACAGTAGCTCATGGAGTTAAATAAAGTTTCATAGTGCAGTTATCAGGATTTTCATCCATTTTGACATGTTGCTTTGTCCAGGTGTTCATCATACAGTGAGTGGACTGACCAGTATTACCCAAGAACTTCATTTCATCACTTTTGGTACATTATCCATAAAGTTATCATATAGGTTTTCAGCAAAGCAAAGTGCTAGTTCTTCAAGAAACAAAAGGTATCAGTATTTCTAAATTTTGGTTTGAGCTATGCCTACATTTTCTACAACTTCATACAGCAAAAGACAGAATGCAACTGTTAATTTGTTAGCAACTTGTACCAAGTAGTTGTACCAAGTACTTTTATCTAAGAAAGGGAAAAAAAATCTATCCATGATTAATTCAGCTCTGGGGTGCCCAACAAAAGAGGAATGTGGACCAGTTGGAGCAAGTCCAGAGGAGGGCCACAAAGATGCCCAGAGGACTGGAGCAAGTCTTCTGTGAAGACAGGCTGAGAGCACTGGGGGTGTTCAGTCTGGAGTAGAGTGCCCTCACAGTGGGACTCCTCCCAGGGGTCAACAGGAAAGCTGGAGAGGGGTGTTTTACAAGGGCCTGTATGGATAAGACAAGGGGGAATGGATTTAAACTGAAAGAGGGTAGTTTTAGATTAGATTTCAAGAAGAA